AATGATATCTGTAAAAAGTTGAGGTTAGGCAAATCGCCTCGTTTTTCTACAATGAGGCGTTTATTAGGCTGTGGTTCACCAAGTTATACCTGAACTACCGTTATAATTTATGTACATATTTTTTGTTTCTTGAATAAGGTTGTGATAGGTGAGAAAATGGTTATTCATAACAGGAGAAAAGTCTTGCTATTCCTATTGCTATTATCTAGCTGTCAACATTTAAAGAATAAATTACAGGCAACTGTTTCGCTATTGTATAAATGTCATATGGTTATTGTCAATGAGAAATTTTGTAACAATTTATATAAAAATTGACGGGTTTTATTTATGCCTTACAAACGACAATCACATCTTTAGACGTTGCCTCTTGTCACTTTTGTGCGGATTGTCTCTTTTATACTGTATGATTTATCTCTACAATTATTTGTTAAACAGCACGAATGTGATTATTGGCTAGTCACTAATCCGAGCTCTTTCATAATAATCGCGACATGAGTGAGGCAATACTAACAAGTTTCTTTTCCCACCGCTAAACCAGCTTAAAGATCTTTACTATAACAAGACTATGCTATCTACCCACACAGACCAACCATATATGCTTTTATATGCATACGTAGTGTTTCGCGATAAATAATGCTATTAATTAATTGGGAGCCGAACGTGTCAAAGTTTGATTTTATGGTTTGCAAATTGGGCAAAAAGAAAAAATTCCTTGGCTGACCGTCATAGTCGAAAATTCGAAAAACATGTCATAAAATTGAAGAATCGAATAATAATAATATTATTATTAAAAACCCCAAACATTAAATGTCCAATTATTGAACTTCACACTACGACATTGATACTTGCAGTAATGTAATTAATAATTTATCAAAACGCATTAATTCTTGTTCTCATCCCGAAGCGAATCGTTATCATCGCTGCTTTTATTATTATAAAGGTCATATTATTCAGTTTGAGAAATAAAAGCCTTCTTTGCTTTTTTTTGTAACTATTATTCAATTTGTTTATTTTTCCAAGATGTCATCTAAGCAATTTGGTTGTAAGGTACTGTTTTAACACCAGTAACTGAGTTCGAAAAATAATTTTTTACAATAGTAACTTTTAATTGTTTAAATGTTTCAGTTTCAATGGGTCTTAATTTACTAAGCGAAAACACTCTTTTAAACTGAGATTACAGAGTTTGCCAATCCTCATTAGTCTTTGGCCCAATTGCTTGGGAAATCACTGGTTCAACAAAATCAATTGTTTCCAGCAACAAGGGATTTAAGACTTTGTATGGTAGCGTGAAGTAAAGCTGGAAAAGAAAGACTGGGTATCTGTCGGAAATCAGAAATAAAAACAAGACTTATAATATAAAATATTATTAATCGTTTTCTAATAACTGTATATGATAATTTATCATTGCAGGAATAGCGTTACTCGTTTACCTATATCTTTTCTAAAACCATACATCCCCTTTTGTCGTGACATTTGTAGACGTTTGTATAATATACACTTGATGGCCAACTCAATACTAAAATAAAAATTAAAATTAAAGTTTGGCAAAATTGATTTTAACTGCAATTGTTTTTTGTAATTATTTGTTGACATTGAAAGCTGGGTGCTTCAAAATTTATATGCAAATTCTTGAAAATTTAAGCTACAAATTGACATAAATTCTTTTATCGTTGTTACATTAAATTTTACATAATGGGAAAAAACTTCGTCCGGATACTTCTTCCAGGGAGTGTAGATCGTTTTTTCTCTAAAGTCTATTGGCGTTTTATTTTGTCGTAAGTAAAGCACAACACCATGGATGTACACAGTGAAAGTCAATATAGCGGTGTGAGGACTGATATTAATTATAATGTCCTAATTTCTGCGAATTAGCCCTGTCGAAAGATATAAAATTAGCGTAGATTTCAGCTAGTTCGGTGTATTCGAGTGTTCAAGGTGCTCAATTTCAATTTCTTCATTAATGTAAATATTTTCTAATAAACGAGTAGTTGTTCATACTCTGAAATACATTACTAATGATTCGTCTCTGATAAATTATCCCTATATCGATTAAGAATAATCGCCTCTTGTCCCGCGATTATTCCCGTGGCAAATACGATAACCAGTAAAGGGAAATACGATAATATAGAGTAAATACTTTATAGACTTTTTTAAACTTGGAAGGGAACAATAATCATCTTCTTCAGTATAATCGCTTTATATCCCCACTTCGAGACGGAGACTTTTGGGGGACATATCTGAAATGGGGTATACACCTGTGCCCCGTTTATATCTCTACCCAGTTATATCCCACCCGGTTATATCTCCAACCTTTATAAAACAAATATCCTTATAAGAACGAATGTCCTTTTTTTGCCAGTTATATCTCCTACACCAACTCCTAAAAGTAGTGAGGAAGAGATAAGTAAAAAGCATTTAACATATTCAAGAGCAGTTAGAAAATGCAACTATGGATGATATCTTTTCTCTTAACAACTAATAAAAAAAAGGCCGAATTTGATAGTCAAAACAAAGTAATTTGTATATAAATGCTTCGAATAAATTATAGTGTATTATATATAATTATGACCTAATCATGTGAATGCTCCACCAAATTTATATGCCCCACCCGCTAAACATATAAACGGGGTCCAGGTGTATATTAATTGTAACTAACATTAAGTTATTAATTGTTGAGCAAAATTTACGTCACACATATGTCGATTATTTGCATTCGCTTATTGATTATCTATCTTCAATTGTAATGACAAAGCTTGTAGAGACCAGACAAATAGAAATTTATTTATTGGCTACTTATTCTTATCTTGCCTCTTTGGCTACTTATCTTGCTTCTTTGTTATGTATGACGCTTCCTAAAAACGGGGAATGAAAGAGCTAATGGGTACACGAAAGGTTGATCTCCCATTGGTTAAGTTACACGTAATTGTATTTAAAAAGGGAGCGTAAACGTCTATATTTTTTTTAGAAAGGATATCGTCTCAATATGTCAAAAGATTCGGATATCGAAACCAAAACAAGCGTCAGTACAAACAGCAGCACAACCTTTACAGCCGTCTCGCTCCCTTCGTCACTTGAGTCTGAGTTAGCAAAACTAGATTTTGACGAACGGTTGAATAGATATGTTAAGGAACTAGGCGAATCTTATCCTTCTGACACGGTGTCGAACACCAAAGCAACGACGCTACGAAAAAATGCCATAGATGCCGTACTATCTAATATCAAACAATCGATGATGATCGACCTTTGTTTCGTTTTAGACTGCACTGGTTCTATGAAGTCACACATTGCTGCTGCTAAGGACAGCATTTTGCAAGTGGCAAAACACATCCAACAGACAAATCCCGGTTTTAATACGCAATTCGGTTTTTGTGGCTATCGTGATTTTTGTAATGGAGACCAAAGGTTACAACTCTTTGATTTTAGTAATTCTTATAAAAAATTTACCGAATACGTGTCTGCAGTACAGTCAATTTCAAATAAAGATGGTGCAGAAGACGTTTTCGGTGGTCTCAATGCAGCCGTAAACGAAATGAGTTGGCGAAATGGCACTCGCATCATTCTTCACATTGGTGATTAT